GTCGTTGTCCGTTCAGTCGAGCAAGGTAGTAATTTTTATGCAGAAGTGTCAGAAACGGTTGTGAGACCTCGTTGTTTTTGTTATAGGGCTCGAACCGTGATGCCGATGAAACGAAAATGCGCCACATAAGCGAAGGAGATGAGGTTATATTTCAGTAACTGTTTGAACGTTGTGAAACTTTTCTCGTTCTACAGATGCAGAGAGCGGGTGTCAACAGCAAACTTTTTAACCTGAGTCGTTCTACACCAACGACACCCATGAAACTCACGTGGTAAGTGTGTTCGACTACTCGAGTGTATCTTCTCTAATAGCTAACTATCACTTTTCGATGAATCGCACATATTGTAGTGCAAAGCTTTGGGGACTCGTATATTGATAATTGTTCACTTTGCTTAGTATCTCTCCCCAGTAGCACCAAAGACCAATTGCTGATATTCATGATTTCCAAGCTACTTTCGTAATTTTAGTGAGCTGTCTAAAAGGTTATTCTCCATTGGTATAGTATGATCAGATGCTCCAGTCATGCCACGGTGTTGTGAACCATGCTCGACGACTTAAAGATGTGCTGAATCTTCTGCCTCTATTCAGTATACAGTTCAGATGCTATATACCATAAGTCTTGTGAATGCACGACTTTCCTTCGAACGTGGATTTCAACTAAATCTTTGAACAACAGCAGTTCGAAGCATTCATTGTTCAGAAGATTTGTCACACACGTCCGCTATGCAGAAAACGTTCGTTGTGGTTCTGCACTGAAACGGGAGTTTCAGAAACTGTTAAACACTTAAACACGCATCAGCAAAAGTTGAGTTTAAAATACCTTATAAACTATGGTAATTCTAAATGCTGCCGTTAGAATGGTATGATAGCAGTGCCTCAGAATTCATAAGAGTTTACTACGGTATGAATATATTCAGTTTTTTTTAATGAATTGTCTTCTCTTGAGCAGTCAAGGTTCCTATCCCAAAAGCGATAAGTATAGAAGAAATCGCCTCTGAGTCATTTGGTGTTTCATGTAAGTCACGAAGACCGCAGTACAGAAGGAAAGCTGTAAAATCTTGTATTTCGGTTGGTTTATGCCACGTATGCATGTTGATGATCACTAGAGAACGACGAGATTATTAATAGTATGACCTCATCGACCATTTAAAGCATGATGTCGATAATGGTGATAATAGCAGTGGGGGCGATGGTGATGATGAAGTGCCTATAACGACGATGAAAATAATGGCGATGATGGTGATTGTAACACTGAGTATGATGAAACTGGTGTAGTGATTAGGAAAGTTGGTCAGCGCTGTAATTTCGATCTTCCTTCACTTTCATGATTGGGCTAGTTTGGCGTTTTTCTTTTCATGTTGATGCGGTGCCGATCTCTGTTTCTATGCCATCAACCAGGAGTTCCTTATTATTTTTGAAAGCCGGAGCCTACAGTTATGTGACAAGCGTAGCGTGTGGTCTCCTATTTCCTTCCCACAATGTTGTGCTCATTTGTGATATCGAAAGGAAGGCAAGTGACCCTCATAGTGGCTTGAACTCACAACCTATCATTTCTGAGTACGACGCCCTACCGACTGATCAGTTCCGGTCTAAACTAATATGTGGTAAATTATTTGCTCAGGGGAATTGATTAATTTGGACAAGGATTGTCTTCGAGCGGAATGGAACCCCTCACCTCCGTTGTTCGAAGCAGATCTCTTGAACTACTGTGGCAGCACACTAAGATTTAGTAATTAAATTGAAAGTTGTCCTGATGATTCTCTACTCTGATGACGAATACAACCTATAATGACGATGGTAGTCTCATTGTTCTATTACTGTAATCATGTATCGTCTGATGAGCACCATTTATGTTGGCGCACTAATGCTTCTCGCAGTATTTACGTTTTGTATGTTTGCCATAATAATTAATGAAAAATCTCTCCTTCCATCCGTTTTCTACTATTATGATGATTGCAGTAGTGATACAGGTGTTTGAGGTAATTCTTTCTTTGAATTTGCTCGCTTTACCCTCTATCGTATTTTTTACATACGTGCGTATGAAACTTGTTCATGTTTTAGCCAGCTGAGCATGGACAGCTCCTCAACGCTGGATATCACGTCAGCCTCTGGTGCGTCATCGGCAACTCAGCCCGTTGTTCTACCTTACAATTCAGTTGCCGCGGGCAACATGCAACCTTCCTTGTCGACCATAAAGGCGATGTCCTTGCCGCCTTCGAAAACAGAAATACATTCTTCAGGTACGCATTATTGCTAATAAATACTATAACGTTGTCTATAATTTTTCATGTTTAGAGTTTAAAGACTCGCTTTCGGTGAAAAATGCCGAAGCGGTGATCGTCAGACCTGCCGAATGCATTTCCTTGTATCCACTGTCGTCATCAACATCGCAGAACATCTATACTGCAGTGCAGAGCAGTCCGAATCCTAATTTAAAACCGTCTTACGTCAATTTGAACGTTTGTGTCAATGCCGAATCGGATGCATCGACAGCCGTTGTCATGAATGGCCCCGTTGAATCGGGAAAGGTGAATATGGGTCGATAATGGTTTATAACGGTTTTGTCATGCCAACTATTAGAGTTAACGTTTTCGTAAACGATTTTCATGGTCAGTGTCATTGTTTTCCTCTTAATCGTAAACGATGACTTGACCTTCGACAGCAGTCTGGATTAGCTGCATTCTATTCATCGATTTCCCTGTCGTCCCAACAGTGTGGATAATTGTTGGTGTCGTCGAAGCGCCGTATGAAGTTTTCAAGACAGATATAGACTATAAACTACGAATATAGATTTTGGCAAATTCACGACATTAGTTGAACCAAATTGATTTTCAGAAACAATGTCATTTCTTGCTGAGGATTGGTTTAAGATGTAAATATGATCGATGCATTGTTGATGTGTACTTTAGTTCAGATTGACAAGCTTACGTGTAATTTAGTCTTGATTTCGCCAAGTCCTTTGTTTTTTTCTGACTGATGACAAATCTTTGCCACTTTATTTGTTCCGACATTCGCATGCTTTTAGCATCAATGCTTCTTATGTCTTTAGCTTCCGTTAATTTCCACAAAAGCATGTTCAGTTAATTCGCAGTTTTTCTGTTTTTTCTTTATTTCCGCCTGACGTATGCCTGTTTTATCCCAGGCTATTTTTGATCTTGTACACTTTATATCAGTATTGTTTCTTTTTATGAGGTGAACTTTCTTGCTCTCTTCGAACCTGTTTCTGATTACTCCAACATACTACGCAGTTCTGCGCATTCATAAGGGATGTATATTTCTAGCCTTATTTTTCCTCTGGCATTTCGATGTTTTGTTAATCAGCAAACTGGCTGCGAAGCGTGACGTCAGATTTGAAGAGCAGCCGAATAGTAGGTTAGGAGGCTTTTCGTCGTGGCTCTCTTGGAAATCAGATATGAGAATTGTTGGGTTCTGACATCCCACTTTTTAACCGGTTCTGCATGGATCTGTCATTACCTTTTGTGCGTTTTGATTGTTTTATTGGCGAGCTTTTTCGGATAAAATCTTATCAAAGAACTGTCAAAATTGTGATGCAACTCTTTTCGAGGACTATATTTCTGATTGTCGCGCATATTTCTGGCATCTGCAAACAAGGAGTTTGCAGTGGATCCGTTGATGCCGTTAGGGTGTTTAAAATTGTAGGACGGAATGATTCGCATGGGTCGATTTCTGGTAGGCTTCTGTGATGTAGATTCACTTCATTCAGGTACCAGTAAGTCAAGAAACAGTAAGACTCCGTTTTTTTCCATTTATGTCTTGAGCGAGATTCGTAACAAATATCCTTCAACAATGGGTGGCTCTGGCCAACGACGAAAATAACTTAACTCGTTACTTGTCATTGTCTGAACTAATTATCGTCAAAGGAAGCGCCCTGTCCTGTTGTTGCGTCTTACCGTTATCCTGTCGTAATTGGCAAATTATCACAGATCATAATATTTTGACCAGTTACGTTTGGTAGTCATTTTATTGTTTTGCTTGGATGCCCGGTTTTCTGGCTATTTTGCAGTCAGGCATGCTTTACGTACGTTTGTAAAAAATATAAAGCGGGCGATTGTTTTTTTTAAGAATTCGCCCATCTTCTCTTTGAAGCCCATAACCAGCAGTTCAGCGAACATGATGCCGATGACGCAAACCACCGTTTCTGGTGCTTCCACCCCAAGTATGTTTGTTGTGCATGACTCTTCCATGTTTTTCTGAACCTGCGCGGTGAACTTGTTTTTCTGTTTTCGTCACAGGTCTGTCGAATAGGCCACCTTCCGTTTCGCTGCAGGCCAACATGCTGGCAGCACAGCAGTCGAATATCGGCCACGTTGGTACTTCCATGCTGCTCGGTATGAATGCTCTTGCTTCCTCGGTTTCGTCCAGCAACGTACCTCAGCAGCTACAAGAGGCCAAAATTCCCCCTTCTTTAGGTGAGTAATTCGGCGTTGTTTATATCTTTGTCCATACCTGTTTCATAACTCAAGGCATCTATTTTTATGTTTAAAATCAGATTTGTACTGGACGTGAAGTGAGTTCAGCGTTTCAGTTCTAGTAAATGCCAGTTAAATTCTTTAAGCACACAACGATGAAGCTATCCATATACACTAAGTAACCATAAAGCAAAATGTTTAAGAGTTAAATAAGTTAAATATTTTTACTGATTCTATAAATATCAGTATAAAAGATCAGAGAATAACAATAACTATATCTAACGACAGTCTGACGTTTGGTTTCAACCTCGGGAATAATCGAGAATTCGAATTGCGTAAGAACATTTGCCACTGCTGATGCTTAGGTACCATGAATAAATGGTCGTCTTCACCCCTCCTCACCTACTTAATTAGATGCAAGTGGCAGTGCCGTACGCCGCGAAATCTGGTCTTGAAGGAGTATTTGCTCCATAGATGTGTTTTAAGTGCAATTATGCTATGCATGTGAACTCTATATACGATATATGCTGCATACACAGATAATATAATATCCGATAGTATGTAGTAACGGAATTATGTATACTTTAGTTATGTACCGTGTCTATTGTGAATTAACGCATTTCATCGGTGTATATGTAATAGATGCATGTTCTACATCCATATACAGTACATGCAGGTGCAAGATGTATGCTACATGTGAATTGTAATAACGCTGCATATATTCACCAGTTATGTTGCATGCATACGTAGTGTAGCTACTCTATCTATACAGCGTCGATTGATGATATAAGAATACCCGCAGCACAGTAAATACCCACTATGTATATTGTATATGTTGCACCTACTCGATGTACAGTTCTGGATAATGTCTGACATTTCGTTATGACAGTTTTTGGTTTTAAACCGCTTCAGTGAAAGCTGTCACAAGAAAATGTCAGATATTGAATTGTTGTGTGCCCAGTTTACTGTTCGTCGAGTAGCATGTACAAATATGTATGCGTAGCAAACGCATTGCATGCATACATGTGTAGCCATTACAGCTATACAGCGTCTGTGGATGTCTTAAGTATATATGCAGCACGGATAATGTGCACGCTCTGTCTATATTTGCTGTATATGCGACATTTACTTCCATGTACACAAACTGGACAGATTATAGTTCAGTATGGTATTTGACATTTTGATGTGACAAGTTTAGATGAAGCGGTGATTTAAACGTCACAGCTGTTTGTAAGTGATTCAATTTCGAAAACTGCCCAATTCGTAAAATTTTGGAGCTTCGTTTCTGTTTAGGTGCCAGTCCTTTGGGTAAATTGCCGCTGTTGCCGGAACGCATGTTTGAGTTGACGATGTTGGAAGCGGCCTCGCATCATTTGCCTCTACCAATGGAAAACAGTAAATCCAGGTATGTGATATTCAGTCGATGAGAATCTGTGATGAATAGCAAAACAGTGCACCGATGGAAGCTTGTGTTAATTCCTTCAAGTTGGTTTCGTTTGTGAGTCATAGTCATTGATGGTGGTACATCACTCCTATCCGCGCCTCGAAGCAAGGGACCGATTTGACGTCACATTCTTGCAAAGCTTATGATGGTTAGTCGATGGTTATGGTGCACCCATCAGGGAGTTTTTGGAGTAGTTTTCACGTTGTACAACTGATCCTCTTGTCTGTGATGAAGTAATTTAAGGACTTGCCAGCTTAATAAAGGCAACGTATTTTCGTATTGTCATAGCGACCTGTGGCTTCTTTCAGCGCTGACTGAAGGTGCTGTTAGATGCCATTGAGGTCTTTGCATACTGTGCAGGTGACATTCCTCTGAACTTTTGAGCGTTCAGCCATTTTCAAGAAAGCTGTTGATAGAGATGCTATGATATTACAGCTGTTCAATTGTACCAAGTTTATTTGCCCTGTAGACTCTCACTGGAAGGCAAGCTTCACTTGGGAAATTTTCGCTCTTCATTCTTCTGGACTAATACAATCGTTGTTTCTAAAATAATTCCCCTTAAAGAATAATTATTTCATTTTTGTCAAGTGTTTGTCTTTAATAATTTAATCTCTTACTTCATTATATGTTTAGCTTTAGATCGTATTTGCCTTACACGCCATGCCAGATTCCGTCCTATTATCCGCAAGTACCTCCTCCTATGGCAGACACTTTGGAATATTTCAATCGGCTCAGTCCTGAAACGTTGTTCTTCATCTTCTACTATATGGAAGTACGAATTTTGTTTCTTTACTACAATATGTTATTTTGTAAGTTTTATAGCTGATTAATTGCCGTTAATTCGTTACTTTAGAAATTTTTGAATAATTTTCCATTCTGTTATCTTCAGACATTTAAATATTCCGTTGTAAATTAATTAAATTATTTGATTTTTAAACCAGTTGCAGTTCTGTCTTCTTCACTGGTTATAGACATGAATTATTGACAGGTGGCAAAGTGTACTTGAACTGTGACATTTCGATCAAACTACTTTGGCCAAATCTTCGGAGCAAACAAACATTTTTTGGTGTGAGGATAGCGAATGCGGTTTGAATGAAGCGTCGGCAGTTCTAGTAAAGACTGTTATATGTTTTTTATTTCTTGTTT